CGGCGGCTGCTCCCGTCCCGGGGCACGTGTGGCTCTGCACAGCCGGCCCCTGCAACCGGCCCCCAGAGCTGTGCGCCAGGGCCCGGCCCGGCCCGACCCCCAGTGCCCCTCTCCTGCCTCAGTGATGTGCCACTGCCAGCGCCGGGGCGCCCAGCTGCTCCTGGGCAGAGAGGCTCATCTGCACGTCTTTGAGCACGGAGGTGTTGCCCAGGTAGGTGGCAAGTGCGTCCCAGCGTACCCCAGCCGGCCTAGCACAGCCCTCTCGCCCCGCAGGAGGATGCGGCCCTGCAGGGCGTCCTCCGGCTGGGCTGGGCTGGGCTGGGCTGGGGGTGTCAGGCTCTGCTCCTGATCTAGGAGTCCCGCAGGGCCCCAGCCCTCTGCATTCAGGCAGGCGGCTGGGGGAGAGGACACAGGGGATGCTGCCCCCATGCCCCAGGCCTGGGCACATGTAGAGGTGCCTGCTATGAGCAGGGGCTGCAGAAACCCAGAGCCCATGCCCAGAGCTGGACCGCGGGGCTGGGGCCCGCAGCCTCCACCGGGCACAGGGCGCAGGGCACCCGGGGGCAGCGCCGGCCTCGTCCCTGCCCCTGTCTCTGGCAGCTCGGGGAGCTGCTGCCGCCCCGTGGCTGCGGGGAGGAGCTGCCACACGGGGTGTCCTTGCAAACTCCAGCACCTATGGGCCCTCGCTGCACCCCACCGCACTGCCCCGGGGGCTCCACGAGCTGAATGCCACGGGGCAGCCAGACAGGCACCATGAACTCTACCCCAGTCTGCAAACAAACGAGGTTTCCCTGCTGCAGGGCAAAGCCTGCCCCCCTGCTCCCCATCCCCACTGCCCCATGTCCGTGCCCCTGCCCACGCCGCTGTCTGGGCACAGGTAGCCGGGGTCCACTCCCAAGCACTGCAGGACCTGCCAGACGGCACCTTGGACCTGGACGAGCTGGAGTCTGCCATCCGTGAGGCCGCTGGCAGCCAGTACCACCCCCGCCCAGAGCTGGTCTGCCTGGAGAACACCCACAGCTCGGCGGGGGGCCGGGCGCTGCCCCTGGGCTACCTCAGGGAGGTACGAGGGTCCCACTCCCCACGGAGGCAGTGCAGGCTGGTAGGGCCGAGGGCTGTGAAATCAAACGCCAGCCTGGGCTGCAGCTTGTAGCCCCTGGGGCCTGCCAGCTGGGAGCCGGGTCGAGGAGCCAGGGTGCCCTGGCTGCAGGGACTAAGCCCCTCTCCCGCCTCATGGCTGGGCCACATCTGGCAGGCTGGGGCCAGGCTCTTGGGCAGCTCAGCACCCTGGCCAGCTGCTCTGCTGGTCCCAGCCTGCCCTCTGCCCTCTGCCCCTTCCCAGGTGCGTCTGCTCACTGACCGCTACAGGCTGCGCATACACATGGACGGGGCACGGCTGGCCAATGCAGCCGTGGCCCAGGGCGTGGCACCGGCCCAGATTGCCCAGCATTGTGACTCCGTCACCCTCTGCTTCTCCAAGGTGCCCTGGGCAGGGGGGTACTGGGGCGACCCACAGGCTGGGGCTGGGGTCCCCTGGCAGGGGCTCTGCAAGGCATGCACGGGCTCCTGGGGAGCAAGGGGGCCAGGGAGCTGCCTGGGGGATGTCCCTGGGCTGGCTCTGACCCCCCTCTCTACTCCACAGGGCCTGGGCGCCCCGGCCGGCGCAGTGCTCGCAGGCCACCGGGAGCTGGTGGTGGAGGCCTGGCGCGCGCGGAAGCTGCTGGGGGGCGGCATGCGCCAGGCAGGGGTGCTGGCCGCAGCTGCCTGCGTAGGGCTGGCACGCATGGAGGAGACACTGCGCAGGGACCATGACAACGCCCGGCGCTTCGCCCAAGGTGCTCATGCTGGGCAGGATGGGGGCAGCCAGCGCGATGCAGCCAGCCCCTTCCATGGGGGAGCTCTGGAGCCTAGCCTCTCTCCCTGCCCCAGGCTGAGGCTTGCCTGGCCCCTCAGCTCTTCCTGGCCTGGCAGGGACCCTGGGGGCTCTCAGGAGGGCACAAGGTGCCAGGGCAGCCACTGCAGCCCTCCAGGTGCTGGGCAGGGACCCTGCAGATCCCTGCCTGCTGCCAAGTAAAAGGGGTGAGGGAGGATGTTGTCCCAGGAGCTGGGGACAGCCTGGCACAGACCCAGCCTCATGCAGGTGCCCACCTGCCACCCCAGCTGTCCAGGCACTGGGCTCCCCCGTCTGCTCTGTCAACCCCGCGGTTGTGGAGACCAACGTGGTGCTGCTGTGCGTGGGCGAGGGCTGGCCATCCCCCACGGAGCTGTGCGCACGTCTGGAGGCCGTGAGCGCCGAGGAGGAGGCCGAGACGGGCCGTGCTGTCAGCCTGCGCCTCCTGCCCTGGTCAGCCCGCTGCCTGCGTGCTGTATGGCACCGCGATGTCTCTGCCGAGGACACCGAGCTGGCCATGGACAAGCTGAGGTTCGTGGCAGAGAAGTGCCGGCAGGAGCGTGAGGCTGTGTCCTAGCCCAGGGGGCCACGAGATGGGAACACTGCAGCTCCCCCATGCCCTGCACAGCTAGGACAGACCCCACAGACAGACCTGGAACCAGCAGGGCGATGCCATGTGCTCTGGCACAGCCCCAGCAGGGTGCTGGGTGGCTGAGCTCTAAGCGATGCCCCCGGGGGCTGCAGAGACCCCCGCCCGTCTGCAGGAGCTGAATAAAGGACAAGGCCCCAGCTCCAGCCTGTGTCCCCCGCTCCCCCAGGGAGGGGCGAGGGGACCTGGGCAGGGGGTGGCCCACAGACAGATGGATGTGATGAGACAGACGAGCCTTTTATTCAAGCACGACACTGTTGCGGGGGCAGGGCAGGCGTGGGCCAGAGGCCCTGGAAGCAGAGGGCAGCTAAAGCCCCAGCAGCACGTGGCAGGAGGGGGGGGGGCACGGGCACAGCGGGCTCAGGATGGGGCCGGCTGCCGCAGGAGCTGCCTGGCACTGGGCCAGCAGCCCCCTCCCCTGCCGTGCTCCTCTCCAGCCCCACAGGGTTTGTCAGGCTGCACCGGGCAGGGGGAGCAGGGTCTCCTGTCTGGGCAGGCACCGACCCATAGGGGCAGGGGGAGCCCAGCTGGAGGCCTGGCTTGCAGCCCCCTCCTTTCAGCGGGGCAGCCCTGCTGGATCCACGGCACTGTGGCCCGTTCTAGCCGGTCTGCAGCCAGCAGCAGCTAGGTGGAGGGGGTCAGCCCAGCGTGCCATGCTCCAGGCTTTGGCCCCTGCCATGGCCAGCTCTGCCTGACCCTGGGCACCTGGGACACCCCCCACGCATGGCTCAGATGGCCACTGAGTGCATGGCCTGCTGCCGGCAGACGAGGCGAGCAGCAAGGAGGAGGAGGGCACCGGCCAGTGCCTCAGTGCCACAGGAGAGCCAGGCCAGTGCCATGGACCAGCCAAAGCCCACGTGGATGCGGTCGAAGCGCTGCAGGTCGTACAGGCGCACGGTCTCAATGAAGGCCGCCCCCGAGTAGCGGATGTAGATGCAGATCCCAGACAGGGTCAGCAGGCCTGGAGAGGACAGGGGTCAGAGCCAGGGCAGGGGCAGCAGCCTGGGCCCATGGCAGGGAAGTCCACCTGGCAGTGGTGTAGCACGCAGCCCCCTGCCCCAGCTGGCAGCTCCCACACTGCCCAAGCCCTACAGCCGGCAGTCGCAGCACCAACGGCCCGGAGTACGTCAAGTGAATGACGCTGGGTGTCACAGCGAGGGCAGGCCACATCCTGCACTCAGCTGTGGTGTCAGCAGCTGCAGGCAGTGCCCCAGCTCCGGGTCCTGCCCCCGCATGCCCATGGGAGCCTGGCTGTGCAGCATCGCATGTTCAGCACCAGTGCCACTGCTGGCTCCTGGCACCCCAGCCCCTGCAGGCAGCCGGCTCCCCCCTGACCTCCAAGCATGCTCTCTGGGCATCCGGCTGCAGGCTCAGACACCAGGGCTGGGCCGGGGCCTCCCCGGGGAAGTGTGGGGCTTCGTGAGAGGGCTAGCTGGGCAGGGTGAGCTGCTGGAGAGCCTTCTCTGGGGGAAGCAGCTCTGTGCAGCCCTGACCCTTCAGCCCCCCGTCGCCTTCTTCACCCCCCAATGCCTGGCCTGCATTGCGTGCAGTGGGACGGACCCGTTGCTGTTCCCAGGCCATTCCCTGCTCTGCCAGAGATTTCCCACAGCCCCAGCTTGTGCTGCCCAGGCAGGTCTCTGCCACACTAACCCTGACTGCCCCCGTGTCCGCACATGACACCCCCTTAGCCTCTGCACCGCTCCAGCCAGCCGCAGCCAAGGGTCCACTCACAGCCTGGCAGCTCACTGGCTGCAGCAAGGGCACAGGTGGCCGCTCCCCTGCCCAGTTCTCCAGCACCTCCCCACGGTTCACCAGACAGGCAGCCGAGCTCCCCGCCATCCTCCGAGAGAGCCGGGGTGGGCAGCTCGCTGCAGCATAGAGGACCACGATGCAACCTCCGTGGTGCCCTGCTGGGAGAGAAGGGGACACAGCCCCAGGGAGGATGACACGACCAGGGCAGGGCTTTGTCAGGAAGCCACACAGGACAGAGTACAAGTGTCAGCATCCTGGATACAGTGGCCACAACCACCTACACGCAGCCCCCGCCCAGCGCCTAGCAGCAGGTGTTACCCTGTGGGGACAGAAGTCACTTCACTTGACTTCCCCCCTCTCCCTAGCCTGGGGCTATTCACAGTCCGTGGAGCCTCTCCCCTACCTGGGCTTCCAGCTGATTCCCGGGCTCCTCTCACCATCCTCACTCTCAGGCAAGCTCCTGGGACAGCACTGCCCTCTCCTAGCTCCTGCCTGAGCTGGCCGAGCCATGGAGGTGGCAGGTGGCCCTCGTTAGGCCCGGGCAGGTAGTGGGTAATGAGCCCCAGGCCAAGCACATTCCCCTGCCTGCCGCAGGAGGCTGAAGGTGCCATGGGCCCGGTAGAGCCTTGTGGAGACAGGGATGAAACCAGCAGCTGCCTCTCCTGGGAAAATGCAGCTGCTTGCCCCTGTGCGCAGCAGTGTGTCAGCAAAGCCTGCAGAGGTGCTGAGCAGGGGGATGGCTGGGCACCGGTGGGAGAGGCAGGAAGGCCTACACAGCTGAGCAGAAAGCCACAAACATCCTGGAGCCTGGCCCTGGTGCGAGCTCCTGTGGAGCAGAGGCTGTCCCTGCTGCTCAGCTCCCATGGTGCTTAGGGAGACGGGCCAGCATCTGCGCTATGTGCGAGCAGGGAGGCACCCGCACACTGCCCACGGTCCCCCGGCAGACCCTGCAGGGCCCCAAGGGCGGCCAGCTCTCGGCCTGGGGCAGGTCGGCAGTGTAGAGCGGTGCGAGGATGGCTGAGCCAAGGCCATGGCCAGGCCTGGCAGCCTGGAGTCCCTGGGCACAGGGATGGACACAGTGGCGTGGGGACAGGGAATTGCAACAGCCATGGGAAAGTAGTGTCCAGCGCTCAGCAACTCTGCTGTGCTAAACCAGGCCCAGCCTGTCCACAGGCTGCTCGACCCATACCCAGGAGCCAACCCATGCATGCAGGGCAGCGGGGGCGTAGACAGCATCCAGCCTGGGGAGCACCGAGGGGCAGCCCAGCTGCACTGGAGACTCAGGCAGGGAGAGGTTCCAGCCCCATGGCCCTGCCACCATCCTCCTCCTGCCCACGCCACCACGCTGGGCTCACTGGGCTGGCAGATGTCCATTCACTCAGGGAAGGGGAAGCTTCTGACCGGGCCCTTCCCACAGCATGAAGGCACAGGCACCAGCCTGGCTGCCCTGGGCCAGAGGCCAGCAGCAGGGGGAGGAGAGGGCTGGAGAAGAGTCTCTTCCCCGCAGAGACTGATCCTGCCCCTGCTCAGACACTACACAGCATCGCAGCAGGCAGGGATGGGTCAGGGCCTGCTGAGCCCAGTCTCCTGCAGCCACATCTCTGGGGGTCCGTCGTAGGGGTCTGCCATCCTTACTGCCTTGTGCACAGAGAGGCCCCGTGCTCTGCCCCCACACCAGGCTCTCACCAGCCCCATGCACCCTGAGCACCAGCTGGCCTGTGCTGGGGGTTGCAGGGGGATAGCTCAGCACTGCCGAAACCCCCTTCCCCTCAGGCTGGACACTCCCTGCAGCCTCCTCTGGCCTGGGGCAGTGGCAGCAGGGAGGTCCTGGGGCCAAGGGCTCAGAGCAGGCTGGATCTGCAATGGACCCATCTGAGGAGCAGGACACCAAGGGAGCGAGAGGCCGCAGAGCCCAGCAGAGCATGGCCGTGCGATGACATTGCCACATGGCACATGCCAACAGCAAGAGCAGTTCTTGAACCAGCTTCCCAGTGCAGAGAGATGTTGCACAAGTGCTGGGGTGCAAAATGCCCTTCCTGTGACCCGGGAGCATTCTGTGCCCGGGCGCTGGGCACAAAGCTGGTGTGAGGGCGAGCGTAACCAGACAAACCCTGCCTCTCCCTGGCAAGGGCCTGGCTCCTCAGGGGTCAGCATGATGCCCCCTCCCATTCTGCCCAGGCAGCAGGACACTCACCCCCCAGCAGGAAGTAGCAGCCGGTGAAGAGCAGCAGGCAGGAGCTCTGGGCCAAGGAGCCGATGACGCCGCAGCCCCAGCCGAAGACGATGAAGATGAGGCTGAGGGGCAGCAGGACCACGAAGGCCCGGTGCATGCCTGCCAGAGACAGGGGGGTCGGACTCCAGGACCTGCTGGGGTCTGGGCAGGAGGCCAAGAGCAGAACAGCCCGCCAGGGACCCCGCCCCGGCCCCCATGGACCTCCCAGCAGCTGCGGGACTCACGGATGAGATGCTGCAGCGAGGCAGGCACCTCCCGGCTCTCGCTCCCGAAGGGGTCGATCAGCGGCACGCAGGGATCCCAGCCTGGAGCACAGCGGGGATCGCAGACACGGGTGGGGGCTGGTGACCCAACTGCTCCGTTACCCCCCGCGCCCCCTCCGCCGTG